GAACCTAAAGTGCTGAAACTCCGGTGGAACTTCTCTAGCCTTTAGCGAGTCAGGTGCCTTGTTTTAGTCATTGATGGTGCGGACCCAGCAGCCACTTTGTGAGTTTTCCCTAGTTTCTGGCTTTTCTCATTTCGCTTTGAGACCAAATAATCTGCATCCCAGAGCCAAGACAGATTGCCTCCCACCCCCACCCGCGTCCCCTACCTTGAGTTCAGGTCCACGTCCTCAGAACTGACTCTCATTGCCTGGAAGGTGGTTCAAAGTGCTTCTCAATTAAAGTGTTCCATCTAACTGTGTTGCAGGCGTCGCTGTATTCCTTAGCTTTGAAATGCCTTATCAGTCTCTCCACGATCATCCTCCTCGGTCTGATCATCGTGTACCACGCCAGGGAAATACAGGTAACACAGGCTCCGCTGCTTTTTCAATGACCCAAAGCCTTGCAGACAGCGCAGGGGGAAGGAAAGCTGAACAGCAGGGTCCTTTTCCAAGCCGCTGCTGTGTCCTTGCTTGAGGTTAGAGAAGACACAAGCAGTGTTGTGTCAGGAACTGCCCTTTCAGAAAGTTAAAAAAACAAAATGATCAACACAGCGTATAAGCACACAGGCCTTTCTGAGACTTATTTGGTAGACTTAATATTTTCCCCAATTTCTTTAGGTAGGTCACATGTTTTTAAAGGAGAGATGCACACTATCCTGAATCGGTGTAGCAAAGTGCATTCCCTTTTGCTACACCCTTTCTTAGGGGAGGCTGTGCCCATCGGTATTGCCCATGATTATAATATAAGAAAGTAAGTTCACGGTATTACTAGCGTATATCAACTTGAGAAAAGCACCACCCATTTTTTCTAACACATTTTACAGCGGCTTATTTAGTTCACGAAGTGTGTATAGCTACTAATTTAGTTGCCGTTAGCTACAATCATTGCATTTTAAATGTCACTTGAAAGTTAAGACAGCTGCCCTCATGAGCTCTTGTAAAAAGAAAATATTTGCTTTGCTCTGTTCAGTTTAACTGTTGGCAGTATGCACCCCCCCCCCAAAAGACGAGTCTCCATTGTTTCTCTAGCCCATAGGCAACACACAAACAAGTATTAAAGTTTGGGGCTTTCTGTAACTAGAGAACTCAAAAACTGATTTACATTTTTCAAGCTTAGAATTTATATGAATATTTTTGAGCCATCATTTATCATTGGTAAGACAAGAATTTTATCTTTTTGTTTGTTTGATTTTGGCTTTTGCTTTTTCAAGACATGGTTTCTCTGTGTAGCCCTGGCTGTCCTGGAACTCACTTTGTAGACCAGGCTGGCCTCAAACTCACAGAGATCCACCTGCCTCTGTCTCCCTAGTGCTGGGATCAAAGGTTTGCACCACTGTGCCCAGTTGAAGAATTCAATCTTAATGACTGTCCAAACAGAATAAAGATAAATCTAACTCCACGGGAGGAGGAAAAAATGACTTAATTTTGCTTCCTTATTTGTTAAAACTTTGACAAGTGTGTATTTGAAGGGACAGTTTAGAGAAAGAGGGTAAAAAGAGTGTTTGGAGTGAGTAATGATAGGCTAAGGTGCATGGGGTTGGATTTTAATATTAGGATAGTATATAGAGTTGTCTTTAGTGCAGTGCTCATGGTGGTGGGATTCTGAGATTCTTCCACATGTCTTCCATGGTACTCTGTTGTGCTTTAAGCCTGAGTCATTTTGACTTGAAGATAGGAGATGGCCCTTTGACTTAGTTTACAGATAGGAATAGTCAGGAAATGAACAGCCTTGCCAGATTAGGAGGTAAGAGGCCCAAGGTGGAAGCAGGTGTTGCCCTCTCAGCCTTCTTCCTGCTGAGCCTTGGTGCTGCTAGGTAAGAGTCCTGCAACTTAGAGAGGAGTTAATCTGTGTTTCCCCTCTAAACACAAGCCTTGGATAGTGTTGAGTTTAAAAGGCTACTTTGAGATTTTCTTCTAGGATTTTAAGAACTAAATGGCTTATAATATTTTGCATGGAGAACAGGGTGGTTTTGTTTAAACTGTGCTGGAATGAGAGACCTTGCCAATTGCGGTTTTCTTTATTCATCTTAAGCTTTCCTAATGTTGACTTACTTGTCAGCCTGAAAGCATACAACTAAAGAAGCATTCATGGGGTGGGGTTAGGGGTTGCTTGTGTTCTCCTGAAGAACAGCATTTTCTTAAAATCATGAGCTTTTAAATAATTGTAGAGAGATTTTTGACATGACCCAGGTTTAAGAGGAGCTGCCTGGTATTAATTATGTGTCCTAGAAGTTTGATACAATATAAGAATTCTAGAAATGTACAGACGCTAATAAATACAAAATATTTTAACAGACTATTTTATGCTTGACATATTGCCCTCATTGGCTAATCTGTGTATTTTTGTTGTGTTGACTAGACAGTGCAGCTCAAGTGAGGAAAGCTGGGACACGCATTGGCCCTCTGGGGAATACACACAGTGAACTTTCTTACTGTTCTTAACGCAAACATCACAATATGTTAGGTTTTAAAGTTGGGCTTATTTAGGATCTAAGTGCCATTATAAAACCTGCTATGATTACTACAAGGTAGAGACTTAGACACTTCAAGGTTTATTATGAAGAATACCAAATATATTGGTTTATCTCTGAGGTAAGGCTGCAAGTACAGGGGCTGTGCTGCCCTTAAATGTAAGATGTCATCAAAAATGACAGTTTTTATTTTTACTTTTGGCATATCAGTATGGTGATTAGCTAGTGACAGCTAGCCAGGGAGAGCCTCTGGTGGGTGAAGTGTTTTTTACACTGTATTGGGGAAAAGTGTTTTAGTTCATGTCCTGGCATTCTGTCCATGAGAATCCCTTCATCAAGCCTGGGGAGGCCCTGACATTTTCACAGAGAACCTTGGAAAGCAAGACTCAGTGTGACCTTTGATAAAATGTTTATACACGATGTGGCAACATAAAATGGTTCAGGTGACTCATGGGTAGAAGTGCTTGGATTAAAATAGTGTGATGGGGAGGCTTTGGATCAGAACACAGCACAGTATAATTCAGCTTCTGGGTCATTTTTCAGTACCACAGACAGCTCAATGCATGGGCTACATATGCAGTTCATTCCACTAAGTACTTTCACTCTTCACAACCAAAAATGAAACTACCCTTTCATCTAATTTGTCAGAATGCTTATACAGAATCCAACAGAGTGGGAGAAGGTCTCTAGCTAAGCAGATATTGTACTTTTTCAAATGCATATTTGGCTGTGCAGTCTGCATCGATCAGCAAATCCAGAAAAGAAAAAGAAATGCAGGACAAAAGTGAATATATATACATAAACAAACTTTAATACATGCCTCTGCAATCCACCATCTTTTGACAAATCCAAATGGCTCTAAGGATTGTTATTTATTCAATCTGAAATTTGTTGTGATACTAAATAAATAGCTTTCTACCTTGTGCCTCAAGGTTAAATAACAGGAAAAGCAGAAACATGATTTCTGGAGCCATTTCTTTTTGTCCCCACCCCTTCAGTAGAACTGGGGATTTTTTTTTTGACAGAATAAATATAAATGAAAGTCTTATCCTTGAGAAAGTTTGAATATAGAGTTCATTTACTCTTTTCAACTTTGTCTCCCTACCATTTTTCTCATGGCAGCAACTTTATTATAAAATGAGTTGTTTAGTATTTTTAGATTTGCCAAAACAAGATTGTAAAGTGAGAAAGAAAGCCCCTTGGAGTGCTAAATGGTCTTTCTGGTTCTTATGGAATTCAGAAGACTGGCAGGTCCTATGCTTTAAATTGGAAAGTAGTTTTTCCTTTGGTAATATAATTACATGATAAATAGCACTGGGAAAACATTTAGTTTTCTTTGGATCATTTATAACATAATTTTTCTGCATTTCTTTCAAGCTCAGTTTTCAGAGATGGATTAAGTATTTCTATAACTGGAAAAATTGAAATTAAGATTTCTCTTCATTTGTGAACCACGGCCCCACAAAAGAGGAGGGCTTGTTGAGCATGGGCTCTTCCTCCCCTGCCTGTCACTTGGATGGGAGGGAGGGTGGGGAAGGCTTGCCTCTCACTAGCTGTTTGGGTCCTTGTTTTCCCCTTAAAGGAGAAAGACATTGGCTTTCACACTTCTACAGGGAGCATGAGGATTCTCCCAGACAATGCCCAAAATACCACAGATAGTCTTTGTTGTTTTTACAGCAATATAATTCCAACAGCACAGAAGACTTTAGAGAAAACCAGAATGTTACACTCTGTGTCCACTTAGTCTGT